TCCCTCCCTCCTTCCTCTCTCTCCCTCCTTCCTTCCTTTCTCCCTCCCTCCCCCTTCCTTCCTCCTTTCCTCCCTCCTTCCTCTCTCTCCCTTCCTTCCTTCCTCCTTCCCTCTCCCTCCCTCCCCCCTTCCTTCCTCCCTCCCTCCTTCCTCTCTCTCCCTTCCTTCTTTCTTCCCTCTCCCCCTTCCTTCCTCCTTCCCTCTCTCTCCCTCCCTCCTTCCTTTTTTCCTCCTTCCCTCTTTCCTTCCTTCCTCTCTCTCTCTCTCTCTCTCCCCCTCCCATCTTCCTTCCTACCTACCCACCTGTGGGGGCGGGTGCACTGTTGTGGGGCGCAGCAGCGGTGGTGCACGGGGAGGAGAAGGGCGCTGAAGGATTTCAGTCTTCAGTCCAGATGCAAAGCCTGGTGGAAGGTGCAGGGCGGCCCGTCCCTAATTACCCGCGTGCCTCTGCTCCCAGCTAACCTCCTTCCTCCGGCTGCGTGAGGCGGGTGGAGCAGAGCGGCTCTGGTAACCTGAGCCCCGGCGGCCCGGAGCAGCGCCTGCGGGACCTGGGGGGCTGTGCCTGCACTCCAGAGCTGCTGACACCTCTTGGAGAATGTTACAGCCCTTTGCGGGGAGCCCTGATCCTTCCCCTCCCCTCCCCCTGCACTGCCTGCAGACAGGATAGTCCCTGCCCTGGGCCTTCCCTGGCTCCCTCCCCACCTGGAGCCGCCGTCCGCCCAGCTGTGATGTCACAGCTGGTTGCTGCGGCGATGACTGTGATGTCACACACAGGGGATACTGACCTCAGCTGGGGGAGCACCAACTGAGACCAGGATTCTGGGGTCATGGCGTCCTCCTCGGTAATAGAGAAGGGCAGCAGGAAATGGACGATATGTGAGCAGAATTGCTCCTAATCTAATTAGGATGTTTCTCCAAGTTTTTCTGGAGGCATCTGCTGCTCCTTAACCCTTTCGGCCCCATGAGGCACATGGCCAGGAAAGGGGATCTCCCCCATCCTGGGGCGTGCTGCTAGACGGAAGCAAGGAAGGAGGGGTCGGGCTGCCACGTGACCCACGGCCAGCTATCCAGCCTGTGTCGTGGAGAACACGACACACCCCGAGTTCGTGGCAGGAGGAAGAAATACCTGATTCCTCTTGGCTCGCATGCATGGGAGCCACTGTGTAACCCCAGCACGAGGCTGATCCATGGGATGCCGCCAACACCCCACCTCTCGTCACTTCCCCCTTGCAGAGCAAGATTAAATCCCCACGGAGGCAGGTGTTTGTATTGGTGGTGCACCTCTGCGCCTGCCTCAGTGCACGGAACCCAAATTATTCCGCACGTGGATGGAAAAACTGAGGGGGAGCATTGCTGGGGAGCGGGTGCCCATCAACACACATGGGGCCCTCATTGCACGCCCAGCCCCTGCACCCCAAGGGGCACGTGCACCGGCCAGATCTGCAAGGGGAGCAGATGCCCCAGGCAACGTTAAGGGAGGCAAAGGATGCAGAAAGGCTAAAAGGATTCCAGAGCCTCCCCCATCTCCCCTCCCTTCTGCGTATGCTTCTGGCACGCCCACCCCCCAGCCCAATCTGCCAGCCCCAGGAGGGTCAGAGAGGCGGCGTGTGCCAGCGCTTGCCCCTAGCAGGGGCATCAGCAGCTAACTCCCATGGCCGGAGGGGCACCAGTCCCTTGAACATCCTGCCCCAAACACTCGCTGCTCCCCCGTCTCTCTGCCCTCAGGGATGGGGCTGTTTGTCTAGGACATGCCAGGAGCCCTCTGTACCCGGGACCCTTAATGCATCTCTGCTCTGTCACCTCCTCCCTGCTGACAGTCACCACCGACCCGCCGGCAGACGTCACCGTGAGCCGCGTCGGCGACCTGGAGGATCAGCTGAGCGGTCGCCGGTTTCTGTTTCAAGCCAAGTATCAGATCCAGTACCGGGTGGAGGACAGCTCGGAGTGGAAGGTGAGCGCGAGGGAGCAAACCAGTCCAGTGCTGGGCACCGGGACCACTGGGTTCGATTCCTGGCTCCGGCACCGACTCCCAGCATGTCCCTCCCCACGGCGCCCTGCTCGCTGTGAAACGGAGGCAGCACCTCGCCCCAAGGCCTGGGAAACCGGATCGGTGCCCTCCTACCTAGAGAGGGGCTGGCCGGTCCTGGTGCGGTGAGCGCGAGGGAGCAAACCAGTCCAGTGCTGGGCACCGGGACCACTGGGTTCGATTCCTGGCTCCGGCACCGACTCCCAGCATGTCCCTCCCCACGGCGCCCTGCTCGCTGTGAAACGGAGGCAGCACCTCGCCCCAAGGCCTGGGAAACCGGATCGGTGCCCTCCTACCTAGAGAGGGGCTGGCCGGTCCTGGTGCTCCAAGGCCTGGCCCTGCTCCGGGGGTTCCCCGAAGGCCATGAGCATCCTCCCTGCCTGAAGGACGAGCTCCGGGCGGATCTCTGGCTCTCAAGGGAAGGTGGGTTCCGGTGCGGGGCTGCCAGCTCCGTGCCTCAAACCCGCCCTCCTCCTCTCCTGGCAGGTGGTGGATGACGTAGGCAACCAGACGTCCTGCCGGCTGGCAGGGCTGCGCCCGGGCACCGTGTACTTTGTCCAAGTCCGGTGTAACCCCTTCGGGATCTACGGCTCCAAAAAGGCTGGGATCTGGAGCGACTGGAGCAACCCCACGGCAGCCTCCCCGCCCCGGGGCGGTGGGGCGCAAGGGGAGGACCTCTGAGTCCTCTCTGTGCTTGTAGGCCCCATGGAGGAGGGAGGCTGGGGCGCCTGCCAGGCACCCTGCTCCCCTGAGCTGCAGGGGTCAAGGGAGAGCAGAGCGCAGCTCCTCCAGTGGGGAAGGCTGCCGCAAGGGGCCTCAGCCTGGCTGTGGTACTGGACCCCTGGGCGTGCCAGTGGGAGGGAGCCCCGTGAAGGGGGGGGCACTGGACGCCAGGCACTGTGCTATGGGACGGCAGGCAGGCCCACCCGTGGCCTGCCCAC